GAAGAATGCGGGAGCCACTTAGCCACTGAACAGACGCCGACTCAGCTAGCATGCCGTCAGGTAAGAACAAACATTCCATCCTAACAAAGTTATTTGGGAGTTCACAAATTATTGCTGACCTGACTTACTAAATATGCATTTGATACAATGCCAGATGGCTTCTCTTTACCCATCCTCTTTTTTTTTTCTTTTTTTTTACCCTGATGTGCTAATGAGTCTGGAACGAGGTCACTCTCATCAAACCACATGATCCAATTCCAATGCTCCAGAGTCCATTATGAACTCCCTCTGCCCCCCACCACCTCCATCATATTTAATGTCTCAATGCCTTAATTCTCTTTGCGCCGTAGAAGTACATTGCAGACGTAGTAGACCTCTGTTATTTCGATGCTTTCCTGTAAGCAACCATTTAAGCGATGACGGATCATGACGATCGGTTGCCTATTCCCTGAGCCATCACCTTGCTGTGGCGGACTTGCTTTTGTGTCCCAGTGATCCTAGCTGCAAAGTTGTCGAGGGCATTGTACCCCTGTTTAGGACCAGGTGACATGAGGGACCGGGCAAATCCATGGTTCACCAAACAACCAAATCCCCGTAACTAAAACAAAAATGCTACTTATTTACTTAAAGGTAGACACGAGCGGCTTGACCAGGAGAATAGGCCAGCGAGACCACTTTTCCACTCGTCTGTGCTGTGTGATGTGTCCTAGAAAGGTAAGGATGAGCCACTGCAAGGCACCCTTAGAAATTTTGATGACAGCATGAGTGGATCCACTTGTCCAATATCTCAAAGCTGCAGTTTTGAACAGATAAGGTGAATGAGTTGCTCCTGAGGCAAAATCTTCCCTTCTGTCGCTACTTCACCTAGAAGAGCAACTTGGTAAATTGGAGCTTCAGATCCTGTTTCAGTGGCTGACTTCAAGCGGCAAGTATACCGAATCATCTGAATGAGCACGCTGCTGACATTTGCAGCTCGCTCGACCACAACTTTAAAGATGAGAAAAAGTGCTTACAAATCAGTCAGTAAAATAGTAAATCATTCGATGGGGGGTGCAAATGTAACATATGGTCTGTTGTGTTATAATTGTGGCATCTATATTTTGTAAACACCGTCAATCCATTCCAGTTATCCTCTATAGTTTTCATTCAGCAAGATGTGTACTAATGTAAATGTAGCTTGCGGAGATATAGAACTGCGCTGGATGATACTCTGTACGAGTAAGGCTTCGGTTGAATGATTGAGTTCCATGAAAGTGAGTGTAAAGTCAACGGCTTTGCCGGTAGCTATGAAAACTGAGCATTGTAGTTTTCGGAAGTGTTTTTTTTTCCACATTCACGATGTGTTTTATCGGCATGTAAGCAGGTACCGAATGGAAGGGCCAATAAAGTTCGGATGTAATTGTACTCCAATTGTTGTTCTTGTCCACTTGTTCAGTTTCATACATATTAGGGCCAAGCTGAAAAGAAAAATACGACTTGGTAAGAACCACAGAAATACTTGACGTTTAGAGGGCGCTGTCTGCAAGGATGCATCTGCCATGAATTATCTTCACTAGACTGACAGCAACCTCTTCTCCCATGTTGACTAACCAACTACTCCGCTATTTCAGAAGCCTCCAATTTGCACCCATAGAACTACAGATATGAAAGTATTCAAATACATTGCTCTATAGCGTCTTTTTTGCATGGACAGTAGCTGATAGAAATGATGCAGTGTCGGTTCACAAGTTCAAATTGGCAATTTACTAAACTAATGACTGCCTTCAAATGAAACATGTTGACTGTGGCTGTTTGAAACATGAACATAAGCACTTTATTAATGCAGCATGTGTCCCTCCTTCCTCGGGCATTCACTGCACACACATTTAATTGAGATTGGAGGTTCAATTTTACACCTGGTGAGCGCCTCCAAACAAACAGCCTGCATGCAAAATGAGTGCTCTCCGTTAAAATAAAGGCAATTCCGTTGCGGTTATAGCGCTGCATACCCGCTGTTATTTTCAAATCTACTTTTTCCTCTAGCTGTGGCCTCTCATTCTCTATTAACACTCTATCTGACAAAACTGAGACAACATGAACACCTTCACTGATAAAGTTTCCTCAGCTGTGAGAAACCCAAAGGAGCCAATGCCGGTTTCTATGAAGTTCCGGTCCTTCCTCACCCAAACTCAACAGCTTTACTTGCACATTGCATGAGGTCACATAAAAATTTCAACAGGTACAAATATAGCGCTAAGAAAAAAAACGGTAACATTTTCGTAACACTCAAATCTCCCATCGCAGGGCACATATAGAAAAACAACCGTTCAAACTCACGTTCACACCTAGGAACATTTTAAAGTCTTCAAGAAGCCGACCGTACATTTTCTTTTAATAATCTTACGCTTGATGGAAGCACATCTAAGTTTTGGTCAATTTGATTAGGGGCGCAGGGAGACGGATTCTGAGATCCGCGGACAGGTGCGGTGGATGTCATTGCATTTCATTCAAAAACATGACAACAGCATGCAGAGAACCCTTCCACCATGTCAAAAACTATCAGCACACTCCTGATGCACTGCATTTAAAGCAAATGAGAGGAAACACTTTTATTGATGTCGAATCAAGTCGGATGTATTCACGCCCACAACGGACCAAAAGGTCCTTCTTAAATCCACCACATTGCGCCGACTTGAATGTGTCTTTGAAAATACCAACACAAGGTCTAACCTGCCTCCGCGCAGAATTAGACCGCGCCTCAAGCTAGACTTGCACCAAACACGATAACCGTGCCATACATCTGTGTCTTGTGGCATACATTGTGGTCATCTACAAACACGCCTTTGACTTGATTAACAACGCGCACGGTTTCTGTAAAAACACGTACGCTAAAATATCCTCAATTATTACGGTACATAAAATGTGCAAAAATGAAAGACGATATGCAGAAAATTGTAATTTCTTTATGATATGCTTTCACGGGGTGTGTTTTTTTTTTTTTTTTTTTGCTTACCAGTGTAGAACTGCACATTGAGTTTCTCATTTCAATATTCGATTTTGCATTTGTCCTAACAGGCATAGTTATAAAGTATAATGCTGTTGGGGGGGGGGGGGCAGCAAGCTGCTTCACCCCAAGTATAGAAATCCATTTTTAAAAAGGCCAGAATTTGTCATCACCAACAATGTCGAATTGCAATGTGGCTTTGTTTTCTGTATTCATTTACTTCTCAAGCAGGCAGAAGAGAAACTCTGCGCCTGATTGCGGTTGAGATACAACACACACACACACACACACACACACACACACACACACACACACACACACACACACTAATAGAATGTAGGCAGTTCATCTAAAATGACTTTGTGTTTGCTTTGTGCTTCAGTGGCCCCCGATGAAATCTGCAAATGACACAGTTATTAAGCCAAAGACACACAGCTCATGTACTGTATACGTTCTTATTACTAATTTACACTATTATTCACGCTTGCTGTTAATTGTCATCAGCTTCACTCTTCTTTTGCATTTTGCATTTCTATCCTCTCACTCGCTCTCATTCCATCTATCCTGCAGGACTATTTCACTGATGGAACAAAAAAAAAACAACCCACAATGGCTGCTGCCTAATTAAATAGACAGAGATTAACAGCACAACTAATCGTCACGAAAAGGGAACAGCAGGAGCACAAATGAAATCCACAGTTTGCATTGAAGCGATAAAAAAGACTCACATCAATCGGTGAAATCAGTCTTCTCTTGTTTACGGGTAACCACTCGTTCTCGTAAGGACTGAAAACATTTATGGATGTGTGTTGTTTTTGTATGTTCGAAAAACATCTCGTCAAAAACGGCAAGCCTCTGAAAAATGTCGTGACATTTCAGAGTAATGGGAAATAATCTGTATCGGTTAGCGCAGGAACATGAAAACAAACTGCTGGGTTTTTGAAGTCTCACTCTTCTTCAATTTTGCATCAGTTCTGTGATCTAAAATACGAAAGGCTAACGTAAGAATTGAACTTTATTGGCAGCAAAAACACACACACACTCATTTCTCTTCACCAAATGCTCCAAAAGAATGTAAATATGCCTCTAAAGTCACACACACAAAAAAAGATTCTAAATCTGATGGTTATTACGATCAAGTGTTCCTTTTGGACAGCAGAAATTGCCATCGAGCGTTGTAATAAGTTTCAACCACCCCAACCCCCCAAAAAAAGATTTATTCTTGCTAAAAATTAGTCAAGGCAGCCACAAAAAATAACATTTGGCAAGCGCTCACGTTATCGCTCAGCGGCAGATCGTCCCAAAATATATTATTTGGCACGAATAAAAACTAAATCCTTTTCAAGCCAAGCAAAACCGTAACTGTTCACAAATCAGTGATTCTTGATATGAAAGTTGAAAAAAAAAAATATGATTCAGGTCGACGATCCCAACTAAGCCTTTTTTTTTTTTTTTTTGCTGTCATGGTTTGTGTCTCACACACAACGTTGTTTTCTTTGTAACATGTATTTTTGTAAAATTAGCTTCTGGTATTTGGAATGTCCAAAAAGCTTTTAGGTTTACTTTATAGTGAATGTAATGACAGAAATCAGGATCTCCGATTAAAGCAGTCATTTGACGATCATTGTAATAAGTACAAGCTAGCACTTTTTTTTTTTTTTTTTTAAGTACCGGTAGTAGTTGTTTGAGGAGTTATTTAGGCGATTTCTCTTTTCCAAGTGTGATACTTTAATAGACATAAATACCAGGACATCTTCTGATTTGTGGCTATGTCTTGTCCGACCATTTTACTTTCATTGTCTGTACAGGCTAGTTTGTTTTTTACTGTGTGCAACGCCAATATGCAGCAGAATGTGACTTTCATTTCCCCCTTAAATAAAATCAAATAAACAACAGGATGCCTTGAATCATTCTTACAGGCATACATACAGTCACACCGAATTAATACTAACTTTTCTTGTCTGCGTTTGTCCATTTTCTGATAAATGGGTTGAAGTTGTTGAATGAGCTCACTCACCCAAGAGATTTTTCCAGTCGACTGGCTGGCGATCCAACTATCTCCCCGAGAGTACAGAACATCTGACCCAAAAAGTCCTAAGAATGTGGGAAAGCAAAGAAGGGAGGAAATGAGGCAGGTTGGCATTTGAGGAATTACAAAAAAAAAAAAAATGTTTTAAAGGGAGGTCAGATCAGCAGGAATATCCCGGCTGTCTACTTTCTACTGTGGACACGCCTGCAAAAGGTCATATTCAAGACTAAGCTTCAGTTCAAACTTATTTAGTGCATCAAATTGAAGTTTTTTCTTTTTTTTTTTCTTTTTCCAACAGCAGATTTGCCGTCTTGGCATCGTTAGTTCAATACAAACTGGAGGCGTGTCACACAGTAAGCACACTGCAGTGAGCTGTGGACAATAACTGATGCACAACAGATGGATGACATTGAAAGCAAATAGCGACAATGACAAACAAAATGATTCATGACCATTTAGCTACTTCAATACATTAACACATACTCGACGCTACTGTGCACGCATTAGAGTTGTTGTTTTCGCAATGCTGTCATGACCATAGACACTCAAGCCACTTTCACATTGCGTTAAAATGCAGCAGTGTCAAGTCTTTTTTTTCTTTTCACTGCTGTTCTGTATAAACAGCAACTTCACAGGATGTAGAGGCAAAATCTGGATTTTCTGCTTTATGAGGTACTATCAGACTATGAATATGTCACGGCAATAACACGGCACTGATGTCGTCATGTTGTTATCTGATTGCAGGATGTCGTGCCACAGGCGCAGGCACCTAAATGCCGGATCTCCTGTTATGGCTTTTATTCGGTCCTGATTTGAAATGGAAGTTTAACGTCACTTGGCAGATTGCGAACCTCCACCGAAGAACAAAAAGTGTTCACCAAAGTCAGCGTTCTATTTGTGGGTTCATCGGCCATCTGTTGGTTCGTTAGCAGGCCACTTCCTGCTTCATGGAGGATGATCAACCGACAGGCGATGCCATATGTGATTCTGAACGCATAATGACTCTAACAGTGGAAAAAAAAATATGGCATCCGTCGATGTGAAAAGATTCTCATGAACAAGAAAATTCTGTCAAAAGGAAAGCTATTAAGAACTAAACGACTGGTGGCCTGTAATATACATCTCATCTCAATATATTTTTTTTAAATCTGAAAAAGCAGAGAAGGCGTTGAACAATCCAGACCAAAGAATTCCTTCTTTGGTGTGTTGTGATGTAATGAACATTTGACCAAATGCGAGCAAACAAAAACTGTGTCATGACTGATCCTACTCCTTTTATCGTGCGGCCATCGCGGAACCCTTCAATACCACGAGTGTGTTGAAAGGTTGCACGGATTGCCGCAGTGCCCTTCGGACATCGCCCTTCCTCTCGAGCCAATGGGTGACGGCAGCCATGCATTGTCAGAGGTGAAAGCGATGCTAGCACCTACGTTGAGTTCTGCAGGCTTCCAGAAAGTTTGGCCAGCAGCAGCGACAACAATAACAACAGTGACAACAACAACAACAACAACAACAACAACAATAGAGGCCCATCATATACCAGATCACATGACACTTGAACTTGAACAAAGTGCTCCTATCGCTGATGAGGTAAGAATGGGAAGACAACATGCTGCTCCGTAACACCCCACGCCCCCCCGACACCCCCCCAAAAAAATCAAGCTCATGATGGGGAAAAATGCAAACCCTGTGAATCCAAATACATCCAGTAATCATCAGCTGATGATTTCAAAACAATATTTTCTCAATGCTTTCAGTCACCATCGTTTCCACTTGTATGAAGAAAGCCAAGACGGCACTGAATCAAGTCGTTGAGGCTTTGCTGTGTACGCCGAACGGCAAGTGGTTGCACAAAATGAAATCATCCGGATCCAGATACGTGGTTTAAATTATCTGGATCCGGATCATTTGATTAAGTGCCACCACTTAACAAAATAAAATGGAGTCAATTCAACACACCGTTTATTTTCAGTGTAGGAGGAAGAAATGGTGAAAAGCATTGCATAGTTGACACTTTTCATTACGATGTCAGACCATTCTTCCTGGAGTTACCTTCACATCCGCTTCCTCGATCTGACAAACAAATGGGTAATAGGAGTGACAGCGAGCAGAATCATTTACATTAGTAACGATTGCAGAAAGTCAAAACTGAGAGTCCCTTTTAGAACTTTTCAATATTCTACAATTGAGAAAAGTTTGGCCTGTTTGTTGTAAAGCGCAGACAAGTGTCTCCGGAGCTCCATGATGAGAGCTTGACTGGCCTTAGCATTTTTGGCTACTAATTTCAGACATAAAAGTCCACACGTGATTTTATGTCCTCGGAGGTGAATATTTAGGCCAGCGTCCTTTTTTTTTAACCAGTAATGAGGCAGGAATAGCCCTCGGCCTGATTGGCAAATCTGTCTGTTAGCTCACCTCTCAGCCGGTATGTTGTCCTACTCCTTTATTCATCATGAGCAAATACAAATACAATTTTTGGAAGTCAAGATAACACCAGGAAGAAAAGCAGAGGTGGTCTGAAGTCACTGTGAAAAGTCCTTCTACGTGGTTACACGAGAAGTTGTTGAACCATCCTTATGACTCGCATATGAATGGAAGAAACAATTAAATTCAAAATGGGCTGTTCATGTAAAACTGTTTACATGATGGAAAAAAAGAGAAAAAAGAACCATTGTGTATTTGGATGTTGCAACGGAGCAAGCACTAGAAAGGGTTTGCCTTATTCCGTCAAGCAGCAGCAGCAGGCAACCGAGAGCTCCTACGTGAAAACACCACAGATAAAGAGGCTGCTCGGCTTTTTGTCACACTTGAACTTCACATGCACTATTATTTTTTTTTTTTTCCTCATGCAGCAAGTTATGAAATGAAAATTTGGTATTCAGCCAAAACTGGTCTGCACTTATCTGTGGTGTCAAGTGGTATACGTAAATATAATACAGAACAATGTGCACTCACATGTTTGGACAAGTCTGGACTTTTGGAGTCAACATCATACCTGAAATGAAACCCAAAAGGCAAAATGGCCATTTTCTACATGACACAATTGTAGTAAACACAAGTGGGCATATTTGGATCGATTTATACTGGAAGTTCTCTGGAGTTGATTTGAAATCACACCAACATTTTGGGGTGAAAATAAGACACCTCTACAGTCAGGCAACAATCAATTCATGCGTGATGGAAATCTCCTGTGACTTCACCTCAGTGAGGTTTAACTCCACAAGTCTGTTTTGCTGCACAAGTCGTTCTGGGCTTCAGCGTGTGCTCGCCACGTTCGGGTTGTCATGGATTAAACACAGATGACAAATTCCAATCACATGCATGTAAATGTGGGTATCAATGACAATAAAGAGGACTCTTCTTGTTTTTTTTCTAAGCAATGGTGTTCTTTTCCATATTTCTCACAACATCTGTAAACCAGTATTAAAAAAACAACAAAAAAAAAAATCAGTGTCCCGACGATGTTTGACCTTGGTGGTGTATTATAAATGTTATTTTTAATGTACGTTGATCATACATTGAACATTTGTTGTGTCATTCCATTATCATGGGCATTAGGGAATTAACACACATTTAAAAACAACACCATGGGTTACTATCCAACCCAAGAAAGGCCTTTGTCACTTTCCAGATGTGAGCATGGGTGGGCAATGTCATTGGGTTCACTCAGACTTTTTTTTTTTCCTTCATCCACAATCACGAGCGATGCTCTGATCTCATTTGCATATCATCAAAAAGCAATGAAAACAAGTGAAATGGTGCATATGTGAATTACGAATTAAATGTTCTCCTACACTTTAATTAAGCACACTTGGACAGCATGCAAGACTTCATCAGAGTTATATATAGCCTTTGGCCCCCATGGATGAGTATCACAATTTGAGTGGATGTTCAACAGTTATGGCTGCCCAAGAGCCATGAGGCCAGAAACACATCTAAAGGAACTGACAAGAAAAATTGTCAGTGAGTTCTAGAAAGAGCAAGGCTGTCTCTCCCTTCTGGCTTCTAGTTCTCGAATACATTTAAAAAAAAAAAAAAAAACAAGGTGTCAAGGTGCTGGAGAGAATCTGTTCTGACTTCAAATGAAAACAGACTCACAAGTCAAAGCGAAGGTTCTGCTTTTCTTCAAAAAAGTAGTCCAAGATGTACTTCCGAACAAAATCGGGGTTGAGGGTATTGTCGATCACTTCGGTTCTGCCAAACTGCAAATAAAGAAAGACGGAAGCATGTTAGGAAAGAGGAATAGTGCACCACTCGAAAACTTAACATGGTTTTTCAATTTGGGATCTTCTCCCTCGTCACACACTTGCAAACACCTGATCTGTCAGAGGCCTGATTAAGGCGAGTGCTCTGACACGTTGAAAAGGAAACCAGGGCGATGTTTCCGGGCTTCTTGATCCTAAACCGCTCCCACGTTAATTACAGCAGGATAAGATTCCCTTGAAACCCCCCAGAGGGAAAGAGGGAAGATAAAGGGGCAGAGGCACTACTTGCAAAGGAAATTAGGGGAAAGGAATGGCTGAAGAAGTATGACCAGGGTTTGGGGCGGGGGGGCGATAGAGTTGAAAAGTTGGGAGGAGAAAAGTTTGCGGGGACTTTCTAATTTGTGGGAATCTCACTGTCAATGTGACAAAAATGATGAGAAGGTGATCGAAAAGACAAATTCAATGATATTACCATATGTTAACAAGGATCTGATTTTTTTTTTGTTTGTTTGTTTTTACTATTTATATTTGGAATTTGTATATTTGAAAAACTTTTCAAGGTCCGGCAGACTTTTCTTGCAATACTTCAGCACATTTTAATGAATTTTTAAAAAATGGTGTCGAAATCTTAATCCAATCGCAAATTTAGTTCTTGTGTTCGCTCTTCTTGTATTTCAAGGTACTAGTTACAATATTCCAACTTCTTGGTCTCATTTTGCTCACTGCAGATATCAGTGCGGGAAATGCATGAAATATGACATCCTTTGATTTGAAACACGCATATTTCATATATGGCAAGAAATGAGGTTTTGCTCAATGATCTCCCATGAGACTGCAGCAACAGACAGACGTTTACCTTGTCAACGCGAGCCTGACGCCACTGCTATGACTGATGTACATTATACGCGCACATCTATCCAAATAGCATACACTTCATAAATTAAAAGAAAAAAACAACAACACTCATGCTTTAAAAAAAAAATGACAGCAAAAGCATACACCAATAAATATGCTGTAAAAACCGGGTGGGGTGATTGTAACTTTGAGTACCGTATTTTCCGCACTATAAGGCGCTTTGGAGTATAAGGCGCACCTTCCATGAATGGCCTATTTTAAAACTTTTCTTATTTAGGGCGCACCACATTATAAGGCGCAAAAATAGAAGCGGCTGAGGTTGCGTTGTTATGGTAATTTGTGGAAGTCAGGTAAGGATCAAATTATTATTTGCAAGTTAACCCTGAAGGAATGGACGTGCACGGATCCTTTTCTAAAAAGGTGGAGTGCAGGCTGTGTTGGAGGATGTGTGCGCTAACCTCGCCTTTTCAAGCTAATGTGAGGATAACAAGAGCACTCGAGGAAGCGCAGGGTTCCGCCAAGGCTCGCTGGCTGCATGTTTTGCCTGGTAGCGCATTTCTTCCATTTTTCTGTCCTGGGAGTCAGAAGAATTATGAGAACCTTCTTTTGCGTTTAGATGGAAAGAGAATAGACACAGATGTCATGATGTTTGACAGATGACTCAAGAATTTGGAATGAGATTTTCCATGAGAATTTTCAACTGCGGCCAAATGCAGAATAATTGGTTCTTGAATTGCTTTGACAGTTAATTTGTATTCCACTCCAAAGATTAGACGCAGATCTGGCTTTAAAAAAAAAGTTTGCCGTTATTAATGTCTGTTTTTAATGGCCGGGTGAGTTCTCATCAAACTGAAATTGGAACACCCAATTAAAATCCTGTGGGCAAATGCCACAACACAAGACAGATTGTACAAAAAAAAAACAACCCAAAAATCCAAATCCTAGCCTCCTTCATCATTATGACAGCACAACAGAACAACAAACAAAATCTTCTTTAGGACCCATTTCAAGACAATATTAAATCTGTACCATGTACAGTTATTTAAAATTTTGTTTTGTGCATGCAAATACTTTTTGTTTTTCTACTTTCTTCCTTTCAAAATGTTGCTGCTGGAAATTGCGAATTTCTCCAGTGTGAGACAAATAAAGGTTTTCTTATCTGATCTTATTTCATCTTATCTTATATTTTCCTGACAAACAAATGTTGAACTCATCGACTTCGGCGACTACGAAGAGAATAGAAATTCACTTTCTCTGCACAAGCCAGACGCTGCAAAAGGCCCAGAGGTGTTGATGAGACACAGAGCACATGCTAGTGATGAGGCAGGTGATGGCAAAGATGAGCTCCATAATGTGATTTCCCTGCTGAGTGGCAGAGACAATGTCAAGCTCCAGAGTTCATTAGATACCAGTGGGCTGCTGGGGCTGGCTAATGAGAATCTGGCGGGAAGTCTCTGGCTGACACCCCACCCTGGTCATGTCCACACACACACACACACACACACACACACACACACACACACACACACACACACACACACACACATCGTTTGTTTTCCTGACTTACAGGTTACATGTTTCTGGAAAATGCTCTTCGCCCTTCCCATGACAAATACCTGACCAATCCCCCTTCAAAGTCTGCCATTAAATGCATTGATTTCAACTCGGGGGAGGATTTGCATGCAATGTAAAGAAAACAACAACTGAAATTCAGGATGTAGTTCATTAATGATTTATATTTTATGTGATTTATTTACAACTGCTACAATTCGTGCGTGCGCATCTCATAAAGGATGAATTGATATGTATCTCAATCCACGAGGTGCGATGTAATTCAAGGACGGTTACATTTTATAGTGGCATAATTCGATTCAGAGAGATTGCGATTTGATTCAGTTTTGTAAGGTTCCCCTCGAGAGGATATGATGCAATGAGTTTCTTGTTGTCGTTTCACATGCATATTAATGAGCTTGTTACGACTGCAATTGTGGCATTTCTTTCAATATCTCTCCAATAAAATCCGATTTGATACGTGCCAATCTATATTTCATCATGTAATGATTGGAGGTCAATTTGATGTGCTGGCATCTTTGAAATGAAAACCAATATTCCGATTCAAATCATTTTTTGTTACACCCCTAATATGTTTGTGTGTGTGTATGTATATATATATATATATATATATATATATATATATAAAATTTACATTTTTAGCTGTTTAATTGCTGGCAAAATTGTGCTCTCTGAGGTAAGCTGACGTAATGGCTGATTTCCCGCATTATTTGTGGCTTAAAGGGAAACCGTTAACCCAAAATGGAGTTGCGCGGCCTCCGAGACATTCGGCTTCAGAGTGTTCACTGTAGTTTTGCAGTTTAAAAAGTGAAAGTGGCGCAAATCCACTTACCTCTCTCCACTGTTTGGTTTCCACACCTTGGGTATAGAGGACACACACTGTGAAGGAGGACAACGTCAGCAGAGAGGGAGATAAAAGATTGTGAGGGATGAAAGACACAGAGAGGAAAAAGTCAGTCATCAATCAGACGCAGCCTGCTTCGCAATGATAAATCAATTTGTGTTGTGCGTGTGTGTGTGTGTGTGTGTGTGTGTGTGTGTGTGTGTGTGTGTGTGTGTGTGTGTGTGTGTGTGTGTGTGTGTGTGTGTATACATTTGTTTTTGGAGGTTAACTCCAGTACAGTGAACTAACAGTTATGTGAGTCAGGGAGAAACAAATAAAATAAATAAATTTCCCAAAACACTGTGTGAAAAATGATTTGATAGCGACCAGTAAAGCAAAACAAAAAAGAAAAAAAAGAGAGAATAAGTACAAAAGAAAAAGAAAGAGTACTGTATAGTCAAATCACTCACATGGATCTGACTTGGAAAATGTGTCTTTATCCAGAAGATTTCTGCAAATCAAAAAGACAAATCGCTGTTACTTACAAAAGAACATTGCAAACAGGATGAAATGGTGGCCATCATTTTCTTTCACACATCTAAAGCTTTAGGGCAGCGTTTTAATTCATTGTTGGTTAATTGGCGCAACATGACGACATGGCACAGTGGAACTTTCTGACAGAGGGATTCGAGTTTTTTTCATGCGAAACACATTATTACATTTATATGGAATCCAAATTGTGTCTGTGAAAAATACAGGCAGATTTAAAATGTAAAAACTGGTCTCTCTATGTGCTGTGGCCTTCAAGAAATGGAAATTGGAAATGGAAATGACATTTAGTTCGAAGCCCCGTATGACCAAATATGGTCAATTCAATTTTTTTTTCACAAATCAATACAGTCGGTAAGCCCCCAAATCTTCTGTTATTTGTTGGGTTTTTTTTCTTTCTTTCTTTATTTATTTACACACGATGAATCAATTTAAACTGATGAAAACTTCTTGAACATAAACAAGAAGTGTGGTACAACCTCTTCTTGCCAGGCAGCATTATATTGCCTCATGATTTTAAGTCTGTATGTTGTTTTTTTTTTTTTTTTTTTTTTTAGACAATACAGAGTGAAACAGTTGGCTGAGGAACTAGATTTAAGTAAGTCTGTTTTATTCAACATGGCTAGCTGTAATGTTTGAGTCACGGTGCAGAAGGAACTGGTGTGCCAAGAAGGTAAGCTAGCATGCAGATTTAGCTCCGTCTGTGACACTGCTTGGTTAACTCATAGTTTTTGGGGCTTTTTTTGTATCACTCACGGCTGTTAGAGCTTTGAATCGAAGATTGGCAAGACGATTTAACCGTAGCTGTTTGTTCTTGCGAAGTTTTAAAGGCTCTTGGTCCGGTTAATGAGCATGAGCCTTTAACGTGCACAGCTAGCGGCAGCAGAGGTATCGTACTATTTTCATCAATGAAAGGCATTCACGTATTGCAAATTCAGATTGGTTGCAAGCTCCTGAAAATTGTAGGGTTTGATTTCAAGAACAATAGCAGCTTGATTGTCACCATCACAATCTCTGCTCTCCAAATACTCACGAACAAGAGTGCACCTGTGCACTGAGGGATTCTACTCATGACAAAATCACGTTATCGGATCATTTTGCTATGATATTAACATTTGTAGTCTTGAATGGATTTTCTTCTATCACGGGAAGGCACACACAGTAGGTTACATCTGGAATGAGCTAGCAATCACTCCAGGGTGGACCTCGCCTTTTGCCTGAAGTCAGCTGGGATAGGCTCCAGCACACTGCCAACCATAATGAGGATACGCGGTATAAAAACTGGACGGATGGGTGGGTGGTTATAAAATGGATGGTTGATCGTTAATTTAAAAAAAAAAAAAATTACTGCAGGGGAAAACCTGAACTTATTAAAGTCATACCAGTCGTGATCAGAGTCAGATCGGGCTGTAATTTGTTGTTCTTATTACATTTTGTTCCCATCAGTGCAGACCAAAATTCTGGCTGTGAACGTAACCGTCTCTGAGCGATGACGATATTAGATGGCCTGCAATCCCCTCACTGTGGAAGCCTTTTCAAAGGGCTGTGCTCCCTGGAGTCCACTTGAGCATCCCAGAAAGACTTGCTTCAGCCAATGAGTCAGACAATCATGTTAACTCATAATTGGATGATCATTTTATTGGCACAGTACTGGCATTGTTATTGCTTCCACGTGATCTACACCCATGTGTGTGTGTTTTTAATTTCTACATTCTCAAACTTGTGTGACTAATTCACTAGTGGTTGTTAATTTGCACGGCCAGTCCCTAATCGAGGACATGCCTCATTAGTTAGCCTTTGTGGTCAAAACGGGTTGGCAATTTAGGCCACCGTGTCAGTTGAACTTACAGTGAGTAATAAATAATACAATCAGCACTGCAATTTTGATTTTCATTCGGTCGGCAAAATTTGAAGTGAATAACAGTATGAAATATTTTTACGACCTTATGTGTCTTTTTTTTTATTACGTGAAGCACATTCAGTTAACGTGTGTATGAAATATGCTGTATGAAATCTACCATTATTCCTTTTTCTTTACCACAAGCAGAGTAAATAGGATCGATTTAAAATATCAAAATCGTTTAAGTAGTTGGCAAGGATTCATGCTCTTCCTTTTAGTGGTTTGAAACAAATCTTACTTTACATCCTTAATTCACGAATGTACCGATGCCAGAGGCTGTATCATTAGTATTCTCACTGGGGGCTACGCACCATTGAAGCTCAAATATTCAAAGTTCCCTTGGCCTAATTGTACTGAAGCCAGTTTCGAGCAAGCGATGCATTTCGGCTCAGCTTGGCTGGGTGCATCCTGAAACAGTAAACCTGGATCAGCCATAAAAAGATGAGGAATGCATCACTGGGGTGGAGGGGCGAGATGGAAATAATAATAAAAAAATTATTAATAAAAAAGCAGGACAATGAAGAACATTTTCTTTCAACCGTTTGAACTTGAAGATTCTGTTTCGACCAATTGACAAACTACAGAATATACTTCATTGAAATTTTAATACCCTTTAAGCACTCCTGATAATAAAACACAAAATATCAAATAAACTTCAGTCAAATCGATGAAAAGTCATTTCAATGTCTTTCAGCATTTCCGTCATTTCAATGTACTTCACGTGACAAAAGTTTGTCTCCAAAATCTGTGTGCCCCTCCACCTCAATTTCTTGTGGCTGAGCTACATTTCAGTTTTACTTGCCTGACCTTTTCATTGCTTGCCCAAGGCTAATGTGTATCGTACCTACAACCGCACTGGAGATGCCTTCGCCTGCTGCTCTCTGTCTTTCTACTTTCACTTCCTGTCTTGTTTCATGTGCTCTTTTAGTTCCTGTAATTGTGTGCTGTTTCCTTTCATCAGCCTCATTCGTGGCTGATCTTTTCTCCGCTCAATACATGTCTTTCCCCACACCCTTCAATAAAGACTCTTAGCAACAAGCGAGCGGGGTAACTTTCATTGGCCAGGAGGTAAGTCGGCTGAGTTCACTCCCACAACGGCACAAACGCCCCTTTCTACGTCTTTCTAGTTACAAAACAAAGAAAACGCCACCCCCGCGCACAGTTAAACTGCACTACATTCGTAGACAGCACAGCTGTAAAAACTGCTGCATTCAGATTTTCATGCCAACGTAAGCCTTGATATGTATTTTTTGAAAAATTGATAACTACGTATATACCTGGTCTCGACATGCATGGAATACTTTGATGAATAAACATATTCTGTGTAGTAAATTTATCTGTATCTAAAAATTAGACTGACCCAACGGATAACACGTAGAAGTTTGACCTTTCATTTCATCTCATTTTCCATTTGCACGCAGTGTTGAAATTCCGGTACTTTTATCAGAGTGGCCGGGTTGTCTATCCTTTGCTTTTTTTTTCGTTTTGGAAAAGTCAGGTAAGTGTGAGGGGTAAATGTCAAAGATATTTTTACTAAGTGAGACTACCCACCAATAAATGTCTCTCTGAAAGGCTAATACAATATTTGCCATCGTGAACTCACTCAGTGTCTTGGTCATCAAATCATTTCAATGTTACGATTGGAAACCAGCTTTTCCAGTCATAATAATGTCAAAGATGGAAGAAAAAAAAAGATGCACAAGCAGTGTACAGTTTGTGTCTAATCTGATGAAACATGATGGAAATAGTTCGCGACAGTTCTAACAAAACATCACTGCTGGGGTGAAGGCAGCATGTTAGCTCTTGCTTGCTTGAGGCAAAGGTGCTTCATGACCGACCGCGGTTTGGCCTTTAACTTTGAATCTGTTGCTTGACTTTAAAAAATTTAAACTGCGACCAATTGCCAACCCGCAGAAACCTCCTTTGTCACTTTGTACGGTTGGCAATAATGACGTCGGTTTGCCTCTACAGGACACTGAGGGCATAGCAAATGAAAATAGTTTGTTTGATTATTTATTTTAAAATAAATTATGGCCATCATGAACAATTTACATGCAAGTCCTGTGTTTTAGAAACCTCCCCAAAAATGTAAGATGTCACATTACCAGAAATGTGTAAACGGAGATGAGATCGCTGGCACGAATCGAAAAATAGTATATAAGTTCACGGACGATATTAATCAAACTCTACTATTTCCGAGAGGAGCAATTATCTCCCACTTGTTTTCTGATTTACTAATTAAAAAGAAAATGGTTCTAATTGTCCCTTGATTGAAATCCACAGATTTGAGAGGGCGTGTATACATGCACAGGAGAAGACAAAGTGCATATTGCCGGGGGCTTAGTGGGTCCTGTTAACAATACTCAAGCCCCTTAGACACTGCCCTAATGGCAAGATATAAATTCACTGGCGTCAGGCAGTCAAACACACACACACACACACACACACACACACACACACACACGCACACACACACACACACACACACACACGCACACACACGCACACACACGCACACACACACACACATCAATACACGTTGGTAAAAAGAGCTCTGGGGGGTAAAAGCAAAAGATGACAACAACTCAAACTTCAAACAGAAGCACCCAGCAAGCAGGAGGAGCTCATCTATTCAGAACCAGATCTGCTGAAATGAATTCTCATCAAAGCGATTCTTTTATAACCCTGTGCCGAGGGTAGCCCCCATAGTGCGTTGCTTTGCCACACGCCAAGCCCACATCAACAATGGTCTTGCCCTAAATTCAAAAGCTACCCTTCACTGTCCCAAATGTTGTCAAATACAAGGCTCACCAAAGTACCGATGCTTGGATGAGACTAGTTAAGTCACTAACTTTAACGGGGAACTTTGATGCAAAAAGACTTTTTAAAAAATTGTTTGTATACACATAGTTGGCGCATACTTTAAAAAAAAAATCATTATAATCCACATTACATCCACATTGCAAGTAATGAGTTATTTTAGGCAGCTCTTTCATATGGGGCTTGCCAAACTGAAAAAGGGATTGTCAAGCTCTTTGAACCAATCGTTAAAGATTCCCAGA